CCCAAGTCTCCGTGGAAGACGACGACTCCTCCGGTGGAAAGTGTCGACGCTCCGGTTATGGGAGCTGAGTCGTGGCCCGCACTCGCCGACGCGCAACAGCCCTTTCCCTTTCTTTGTCCATGTTCTTCTTCCCGCGTCAAATACCTTCATTATATACATATAATTATATATATATACATATTTGAGAATATGTAATTCTAATTTTGGGTGAAATTTTCATTTTATAATGGTTCGCTACCAAATATATAGACCGGTTTTAATTTGGTTCGACTTGTTTCGGTTTAGATCAGATTAAAAATAAATTAGTAGTTATCAACCTGAAACCGATCTGGTTCGAATTTATAACCGGTTCAAAACCGAATGAAATCTGAAATAGACAGAACTAAACCGGACCGAACCGGTCAAAGTCTCTGTTTAATCATTATATAGATATGGAAATTAGAGTAATAACACCTTAGCATCGATGTAGTCGGTCCAGAATCTGGCCTGAGACCTTTGGTAAGGATCAGAAGGGAAGAGAGAAGGGCCCTTGTTCTTCCAAGCCTCGTCGATGTATTCGAGGATGATCTTGGATTCGCAAACCGGTTTACCGTCGTGGATGAGAACCGGGATTTTCTTGTGAACCGGGTTGGTTTTGATCAACAAGTCGCTCTTGTTGCCAAACACGTCTTCTTCTCTGTACTCGAAATCGATCCCTTTCTCCGACAGCGCCATCGTCACTCTCGCGCCGAACATGCTCGGCCAGAAATTTAACACTACCACCCCTTCTTCCGACATGTTTTTTTTTTTTTTAAATTTATTTATTTTTATTGCGTTCTCTGTAGAGTTGTGGGTTACTGTGGTGGATGATCCCTTTGGTGGGTGTTTATTTTATAGAGGTCATACGATGACATGTGGGATTTTATCATTGTTATTATTATTATAATTTATAAAAAGAAATAATGATTATTGGTTTTATATATAGTATATAAATATATAATATTTAATTCGTTATTATCTTCTTTGCAGGTGGAAAGATCAGATTACGGTCGTGACGTCTTGTTGCACCAACTACAGTTATAAGTCTTGATTCAGAATCATCACATTTTTTTTAAACCAAAAATAAATAAAAAGTCATTAATTCACAACATTGAAATTATGGAAAAAAAAAATATATTTGTATTTGTATTTATATGCCGAAAGGATCGACTATATATAATTTTTTATATACAGATAATCCCCAGATTTAGAAAAATTCGTACACGTAATACGAGTAAAATTTTCTTATGTAAGAATTATATAATTCGAGATCTATTTGAATAATTCAAACATGACGACTATATATGTAATATGCAATGTCCAAAATAATGGGAATGTATAGAGGAAAATAAGATATTGACTAGATTCAATGAACCTTAAGTCTTTGCCTTTTTTGATGAAATTGAGTCTTTGCTTTATTATAATTTTCAGCTTTATGGTCGTGTGGGTTATATTCATTTCGCTTTTATTTCAGTATCTCCTTTTCCAATAACTATTTCATCACAATAAATAAAAGTTTTTATTCCGCATCTTTTTCCCCATTGTTATCTAAGTCCAAATACATATATAAGATCCTTATTTGGTTCGACGAGAGAGCTCATGGGTTAAAACTTACGAGGAAACTCTATGACCATTGACGAAGATTCAGCGAATGTTCAACAAAATCTCTCAGGCAAATAATCCAAACCCAGATACCGAATTCAATGAAAAGCGCAGAGAGAGAGAGAGACCTGAGGAGCGAATAGGAAAGGAGACTGGGAGCGAATGGGGCTTGCAGGAGGAGAACTGCTCATGGAGTCAGAGGAGGGACGGCGAGGATTGCTCCCGC